TAGTTGCTAGACACTTGTGCTCCATCACATTGAGTTCAATCTTGAAGGTCCTATTCTGAGACATTGGAGCCTTCAAGATTAATCTACCACCTGCGTCGAGAACTCTCATCATCTTGTCTTCGACAACTACCTTGCAGTTCTTTTCGACAAGCTGCCATATACTGAGCAAATTACTCTTCATGCCTGGTATGTACAACACATTGGAAACTATTAACCTTTTGCCATCTTTCCTCATAATCAGAACATCACCAACACCTTCAGTTGCTAGAGTGTTGTCATTTGCAAACTTCATTGTGTTCTTCGACGAGGGCTTCATGTTGACAAACCAATCTTTCCTTCCAGTCATGTGTGATGAGCATCCTGAGTCCAAGTACCACTAATCTTGGAATCTTTCTTCATCTTTTGTTGTGACCATTAGCAACGTTTCTTCTTCTTCATGTTTTGTCAGCTTTGCATCAGTCTCTTGATTTCTCTTCCTTTTTGCAAAATCACTAACATAATGACCATACTTCTGGCAATTGAAACATTGAATGTGGCTTTTGTCTGTCTTTCGACCACCACCTCTTCCTTTACCTGCAGCACCACCTCTTTGGTTGCCTTGGTTCCAAGGTGTCTTCTGATTCGACTGGTTTCCTCCTTTGTTGCCATTCCAGCTACCTTTTCCTTTTCTTTCCTTTTCTGACTGCGCCTGCAAAGCCATATCTTTCGACTTTCCTGCAGCTCTCTCAGCCATCCTCTGTTCATGAGACTCAAGAGTCCATTGAAGCTCTTCCTTCGTCAACACTGACAGATCTTTCGACTCTTCTATGGAAACTACCACGTGGTCGAATTTTGGAGCCAACGATCTCAAAATCTTTGATACTAATGCTTTCGTCGTCAGCGCTTCTCCACATACTTTGATTTGATTCACCGACTTTGTAACTCTGGTGAAGAAATCTATAATGCTTTCGTTGTCTTCCATCTGAAGCAACTCATAGGTTCTTTTGTGAGTTTGTAACCTCACCTCTTTCACCTTCTTTGCGCCTCCAAACGACTTTTCAAGAATCTCCCATACTTCTTTTGCTGAATCAACATCACTAACATTTTCAAAGTTATCAGGATCAACACACTGATGAATTATAAAGAGTGTTTTATAATCCTTCTTCTTCAATTCTTTGTGCGCAGCCTTTTCCGCCTCCGTTGCGTTCTCCACAAGCGATATTACTTCGTCCTTCACAAGATCCCAAAGATCTTGATAATAGAAAATCACCTTAATTTGCTTGCACCAATTCTCATAATTGTCTTTCTTGAGAATTGGCAGGGTCGCCGGAAAGTTGTCGTTCGGATAGTTCATCGCCATCACTATCTTCCTTCCTTGAATCTCTCAACCGGAGCTCTAATACCAGATGTTGGAAATTCACCTCACACCCTATGAAGAATTCCCTTCAATCTTGATCTCAAGATTGATGAACAAACCCACAATATGATAGTAATGGTGATAACAAGTAAAGAGTTATCAAGAACAGTCAAAGAGAAGAAGAATAACAAACAAACAACAAGAAAGACAAGAATGAGAGAAGAAATATTTGGAGAAAATTGTGTTACCCACAAACTGTGGGATTTCTTATTACTATTGAACTTTCACTTGCTAAACTCTGCAACTGTGAAATCTGTTTGTATTTGATTACCAAGCAAGACACTTATTTATAGTTTTAGGTTTACAAAAACCCAAAACATAAAAGAACTAAAATATTCAAAATCAAATCAAATCTAAATCATATCAAATCTCATCAAAACAAATATGTGTCAAAACAAACTGTTTCGACAAACTATGAATTACATTTAACAGAGCATGACTTTCTTGTAATTTAGATTGTCAAAAATGTCTTGTAGGTAGTTTATGTCATTCTTAATTGTTTTATTTCTAGATTAAATCCGCCACTTGATTTTCCAATTCTCAAATTTAAATTAATAATCAACAACTGAACTCTCTTGTCTTAATTTAAATAATTTTGCTTGGTGATTTTCATATAAAGATGGCTAAAACATAATTTTAGGGCTTTTGTGAATGAGAACAAATCTAACTATTGATGATTCTAGTGTATCCACTTAAACCATCTCATAAGAATTCCCTTCATATAAAAAAAAGTTAATAATAACATATTATCGGATAATAATTGGTAGAAATTAAAAAATTATTTTTATTAAAATAACTATTCTAATGATTCAGAACCATTAAACACAACAAGTTCTAATATAAGAGTTCTAAAGACTCTTTTGATCTTTAATATTTGTCCATTAATAGTTAATATGGTTGATAACCTTAGTAGAACATAATCACAAATACCATTAAGATCTTACTCATTCTCATTGTGCACAAAACTCCTAACAAGTTGAACCAACTCATATGCTTGAATATTAACTAAAGTTTGATCAACTAAATGAGACAGGTGTGGCACCTAATGATATAACTCGAAGTTAAGATGTAACACATTGCAAATTATTTGTCATAGATGATTCTTGAGAACCTCTTGTGATAATAATATCCTTCCAAAAAATCAACATTACAAATGCAAAAGATAATCTAATGTTAAAGTAAGCCAATGTGCTAACATATATCAAGTGAGTAGATTGATTGTCAGATACGAAGTGAGTAGATTGATTGTCAGATCATCTCTAAAGAGTGTGCACTCTATTTAGAAATTATTGGTATTAGAACTAAATTTATAATAATAAAAAATTAAAAACTCAATTGTAAGTTTTACTCATTATAATGCGGTTGTATACCAAATAAATTATAAACTAAATAAAATGCAAGACCATTCCCATTCCTAACACATGTTCTCAACAATGCATGTGAGATGAAACCAAAGAAAGGAAAATGATATATGACCAAACTTCAACAATGGATTACTATTACATTTAGTGGGGAATTGAAACAACAACTCATAAATACCCCAAAATATCCCTAATCTTAAGGAAAAATTCCTCATCAACTACTCCAAAATATCCCTATTTTTAAGGGCAATTAAGGGTCAAGGACAAAGCCCATGCCTAAGTAGTTAAAGAGCATCAAGGGTAGACCCTAAGGACCCCACACCTTCTAACCAAAACAAGATTAGTGACTTCATCAATACAAAAAAATTATAATAAAACCAATAAGTGGACCCAAAATAATTAATATATTAATCCTATTTAAGTGACCAAAAACAAAACACACCCATAATGCCAAGGATTGGAAGACATAACACGTTGTCTCTAATACCATAATACACTTTGTTATTATTTAAATATTTTTTGATTTTATCATTACTTTAGTAATAAAGTAATAATTAATTTATAGATCTACTTGCCTTAAAGGGAAAGAGCATGCCAACATTCCCAACAACACATCATTCATTTGGATTACTATAAATTAATTAAAAAATAAACTAGTACAATAAAGTGTAGCTAGTTAGATTATACTATAATATTAAATATTTTAAATGAGATTATGTTTAAAATTAGTAGGATTAAGATTCTTAAAGTAATCATAGGACATAGCTATATTTGTAAAAACGGCTGCATAATCATAGAGAGAATATAATTAAATTTGTAAATAAGGTTACTTTTGGAATCATATGGTCACATAATTCTCAAAGTACATTATTATTCTTCCCTTATCGGTTACATAATCATTTTAACCAAATTTAATAATAAAATTGTAGTAAAGTACATCCAAATTCTACTATAACAAGATTTGTTTATGTTCATTGATTTGATTTTTTTTTAATATAATTAAAGTTTGCATGGAGATAGGAATAGAATATCAATTCAACACCGCCCTTAGTAATAGAAGTTATTAATAAATTATAAAATCTACGTTGCAACACTTTCTGCCTCTATTTTTCGGACACAATATATGAAAGAAAATTTCATAATTATTATATTATTCCATGTCCGACCAGAGACTCGTGAAAAAAAATATAGAGAATGCTTCACAATCATGTTTCAATAAAAATAAAAACAACAAATAGTTTGAGCTTGGAGAAGAAGCCAAATAAAAATGTCAAAGGAGTTAAAAAATTATATTTTAAATTAAAAGATATAATAAAGAAATAAATAACTTTATTAAATTATCACTATTAGTCATTAATATATTTAAGTGTTAATTTATTATAAATAAGAAAGGAAAATAATAGTTTGAAAGTAATGTAAATTTTATTAATTAAATATTTCAATTTTTAATTAAAACTACATTAAAAATGAAAGTGACATTTTTATGATAGGTTATTTTCTCCTTAATTAAAGATTTATTAAGGGATAGAGGAAGCAGTTAATATAACATAAATAAGAACATGGGTTGGTGTAATTAAGACACAAGTAGTAATCAGTTTATGATGCTACTAATTTTTTACATAATAATAATATTTTATATATCTCAAATTTTGTTTTCACTGTTAAAATTATTTTATTTTTAATATTAAAATTGTTTAAAGTTATCGTTAATTTAATCGCTAATTAATAAATAACATTTCGTTCTATTGTTGTAAATATTGTTGTTAAATTATAAGAAGGGTAAACAGAAGGAATTAAAAATGTAGATAAAAAGTTTTAGAATAACAATTCATTGAAAAAATATTTTAAAATATTAAAAATGAAATTTACAATAATAATAATAATAATAATAATAATAATAATAATAATAATAATAATAATTTAATTGTCATAATTTAACACAACAGCAAAACAGGAATATCATATTAAGAACCCAGAAAATAAATGCCCTCCTAGGCTTAAACTAATTAAAAAAACTAAGCAAATAAATTGAAAAATTAAAATGTTATCCAAGAAGTTGATCATCATAATAATCTAATTAATTAACAAAAACTAAACAATTAAATTGAAAATAGAAAAATTAAAAGAAAAAAAAACAACTAAATTAACTAGTACCAACTCTTAATTACTCTATAATATAATCTAAACATATCAATTATTACTATTATTATTCCCTCATTTTTTTTAATCTCTCAAAAAAAAAATCAAGAAGAAGAAGAAGATCCATTAGTAGCACAAGCAGCAACATTAATCCCATCATTATCATTCTCATGAGCACCAAAATCGCCACCGGAGACACCGTCTACGGCGGATCTTACGGCGACGCCGTCACCATTACCATGATCTGACAATTTTCTTCCCAAAGTGTTCTTATTGTTATGCATCCAAACTTTGAGAACACTTCTATCAACACCAACTTCATTGCAAAATCCATTAACCATTTCTTCATCTCTCTTCTGCATCTTCCAGCCAACTCTCTCGGCGAATTCATGCATCTTATCCTTCTGCTCTTGAGTGAATTTCGTTCTGAATCTTTTTCTACTAGCTCCCATCGGAGAACCAAGGTTTAACGGCGCTGCTGTGTTTTCCGGCGGGATCGAAAGTCCGGCACCAGAGAGTGCTAAGAGCATATGTGGAGCTGATGGGTATGACGAGATCGGCGGTGGAGACGGGGAGCTTGGTGAACGGGACTGAAACAACGGAGGCGGTGGTGGGTGGTGGCGGTGGTGAGGTTGATATTCAAAAACGGTGGAAATCGGTTCTTCTGGTTCACGGCGGTGGAAATTCCGGTGACATCCACAAGCGGCGCATTTTATGGAAGCGGGGTCGTCGGAGGTGGCGGTTGGTGACGGCATGAACTCACAACAGCCGTCTAGTGCGTGACCACCTAAAGTGGCCACGTGGTTTTTGAGACATTCTTTGTAAGTAACAGCAACAACGTTGTTGTTGTTGCTGTGGTGGTTGTGAGTGTTGGGGTGGTGGCGTTTAAGAACCCCATTTGAAAAAGACAAAGGCTTTGTTATGTTTGAGGTTGTTGTTGTTGTGTTAATGGGTTGGATTCGGGTCGGGTTTTCTGAATCCGGTTCTGATTGTTTTGAAATTGTTGTTAAAGGAGTAGTGTTTGTGGCGGTTGTTGTTGTTGTTGTTAAAACCTCCATCATGATAAATCTAACATGTAATTTTAAAACATTAAAATTAAAAACTTACCTTTGCTTCAATTATACACTATAGTGTCCTAGAAGAAGCTGTGGAATTGAAAGGAAACTAAAAGAAAGAGGAGAAATGTTGGAGGAGGAAAAGTGGTGGTGGTGATGGAGGAGGAAAGTGGTGGTGGTGGTGGTGGTGATGGAGGAGGAAGAGGGAGAGAATATTGAGAAAGTGGAGGTGATGTTATGTGACGACTGTTGATAATTGAAATCCGGGTTATGTGGTTGTCCCTTCTTAACAACTTGTGCTTTTTAACTCTAGTTCTAATCTATGGTTAAGTTATTGACCTTACTTGGGGTTAGATGTGAGTAATAAATATACCCTCTTATAATTTATTGCTACCATTTTTAATTAATTTTTTTATTGTTAAATTTTATTTTATTTAATGTATATATTCTATTCGTTTCATAATATTTGTTGAATTTTTCACGTTATAAATATATTTAATTAAAATAATTATTTATATTAATTATTATAAATATAATAGAGAATAATAATTTAAGAGAAAGGTATGTAATATTAATAAATACATTTAAAAAGTTTGAAATTAAATTCATATTTTAAAAATTAAAACTATTTGCATGTAATAAATACTGTGAAACAGAAAGGGAAATATTCTTTATGATAATTTATTCTTTCTATGTCATAAAAAATTATTCATTTGACTATTTCATATATATATATATATATATATATATATATATATATATATATATATATATATATATATATATATATATATATATATATATATATATATATATATATATATATATATATATATATATATATATATATATATATATATATATATATATATATATATATATATATATATATATATATATATATATATATATATATATATATATATATATATATATATATATATATATATATATATATATATATATATATATATATATATATATATATATATATATATATATATATATAATTATTTTTATTAAATTGTGAAATATTTATGCATTATCATAAATGCAAAGAATGGTATTAATTTAAAATTAATTAAATCATATTAATTTTTTTTGTATGAGAATTAAAATTGATATTGATTGACAATATTAAAATCTTAAAGCGATGATGTTGATTTTTGATACGGTATTTTAAAATGGATCAATAAAATTAACACTATAACTTTTAAATCAGTCACAGAATTTTAAATGAGGAATACGAAAAATAGATATTAAAAAAATATATCTTACCTTTCAATTATGTTGATTATATATATTGAATAATTTTTGCTAGGCTATACATGGGGTGAATCTCTTGTATTGGACTTTTGACCGTCTGAAACATTAACTATTTTTTCTCATAATGAATACACATTTGACTATTTCATATAATATATTAAAAAATGAAAAATATTGTCTTATTAAAGTAACTCAGTTATTTAAAAATATTTGAATAAGATGATAAAAATCTCTTTGAACGTAATTAGAGACTATGAATTCAAACTCATTCTCGAGTATGCAACAATATTAAATTTAATTGATAATTATACATAAACATTAGATTGAATGAGTGTCACCACATATCACAATTAAATTATTTTTACAAAATTAAAAATGCTAACAAATATGTTTAAAAAGACTTTAAAATCTTAAAATGGTTTGTTTTTATAAAAACTTATATATTTAATTCATTGAAAATTTAAATATTTAATTTTAAAAAAAAATATATTTTTTATTAAAAATATTTAACAATATATATATTTAAGACATTAGTTAGTGAAACTCATAATAAACATATAAGAGAAGAAAAAAAAATTAAATTAAACTTCATTATCACAAATCGACATATTTTCATTATTCTAAATAGAAAGTTGATGAAGTTGGATTAAAAGTAATTAGATGTGTTCTAAGTCGACTAGAAGGCTCAATAGCTATGGCTTAAAAAAACAGGTCAGTTATGTTGAAGCACAAGGTTGAACATGAAGAAGATGGAAGAGAGAGAATTTTTGTTACTAACTTGGCTTTGAAAATGAAAAAGAGTTACAAAGTGAAATTCGGTTACAAACAGAGCTAAACTTTAGCTTTTATACAAGCCCAAACTAAATGCAATTTAAATGCAAACCAAACTGAATCCAAATTACAACTAACATCATCCCTTAATTCATATTTAGCTAATTAAAATCAACAAAACCAATTTTATCCCTCAAATGGATAAAGTGTTCAGTCTTGATTGCTTTGGTCAGAATATCTGCAAGTTGATTCTGAGTGCTATAGTGAACAACTTCAAGCACTTCATTCTAAACCTGATTATGCAGAAAATGGAACTTCGTGTTAATGTTTTTGCTCCTTTCATGCAACATTGAATTCTTGGCAAGATTTATAGCTGATTTATTGTCAATCATCAGCCTCACAAGCTTGTTCACCTTGATCTTCAGATCCTACAATAAGTTTAGAATCCAAATAACTTGACAAGCAGATAAAGCACCTACAATGTACTCAGCTTCATAGGTTGACAATACAACCACTGGTTTCTTCTTAGAGCACCAAGAAATGGGACCTCCCAGATACTTGAAGAAATATCCAGAAGTACTTCTTTTGTCAACTCTGTCTCCACACCAATTAGAGTCTGAATAACATATCAGCTCTGAATCAGATTTAGCACCAGAAGGGAACAAAACTTCATACCTTAGAGTCCTTTTATATACCTTAGTATCCTCACAACAACTTAGTAATATGACCACTTTGGTTTTTCATAAACCTACTCACCATTCCAACTGCATAGCAGTGTCAGGTCTAGTGTTACAGAGATATCTCAATGAGCCCATCAACTTTTTAAAAGTTATAAGATCTACATCATCACCCTTAACATCAGAATCTAGCTTGTGATATGTTTCAACAAGTGTGATTGCAGAATTACAATTTATAAGCTCATATCTCTTAAGAAGCTCAAGTTCATACTTCAGCTGGTGCAAAATTATCCCCTTATAAGAGTACAAAATCTTCATCCCTATAAAATATACCATATTTCATAAATTAGTTATCTTAAACCCATTCATCATCACCTTCTTGAACTTAGATATCTCATCTGAACACTCCTTGTTAGCAATATGTCATCAACATAGAGATACACCAAAATCATATTGTTATCAGATGTATGTTAAACATAAACACCATATTCCATCTCAAATTTTCTGAATCCATGGATCTTGAAAAATAAATCAATTTTTAGATTCCAAGCTCTAGGAGTTTGTTTCAGTCCGTAAAAGGATTTATGCAACTTATTAATCATCTCTTCCTGATTCCTTTTCATAAATCCAGGAGGTTATGACACATAAATTTCCTCTTGTAAAGGACCGTTTAAAAACGCATATTTCACATCTAAATGCATCATAGCCCAATTTCTATTAGCAACTATAGCAATTACCAATTTAATTGTTTCATGTCTAGCTACAAGCGCAAACACCTCAAAATAATTTAATCCATATTTCTGTACAAATCCTTTAGATACTAACCTTGCTTTGTGTTTGCCAACTGATCCATCCAGCTTTACTTTCACTTTGTAAAGTTGTTTCACGCTGATGATTTTCTTGTTCTTTAGAAACTCAGTCAAATCTCAAGTCTTGTTTCTTTCTATAGCCTCGTGTTCTTCTTTCATGGCCTTCAGCCACACTTTCTTCTTGAGAGCTTCTTCAATACTAACTGATTCATAGTCTACCAACATAGCACACTGGATAACTTCCCCTTCAAATTCTATCTTAGTATCTTGCAACATATCAAAATCTACAAGTTTGCTTGGTAATTGTCAAATTCTTTGTGGTCTCTGAACTTATCCATAATCTTCTTAATATGCTATAACAGTATCAGATGTTGAACTACCTTCAGAGGTTGGACCATCTTCAGAGGATGGACCACCTTCATAGGCATGACCACCTTCAGAGGCAATATTACCTTTAGAGGCATGATTACCACCAGATTCTAGATCATTGTAGCACCCTAATTTTCGACCTTAAGATCCCACCTCCTTGTGCATTATCTTACATGATATATTTTTACTTTTGTGTGCGTGTTTATTACGGCTAACCAGTTTGTGCAAGTGCAGTAATGTCAAGTGTAGATCCTTATAGTCAAGTACTTCAAGGTGTGACCGTTGGATTATGGAGATCCTGGGATTATTCTATTGGTCATTTCCTCAAGGCTTCTCATGAGTTTCATTGTTTTCCCCAGAGGTTTAAGTTGTTAATGTTATTAGTTTTAAGCATAAGCATTTGAGGCCTATTACGACTTTCGTAGGGAGCTGCATCACAAGTTATGTCATTATTTTCAAAGGAGTTCTCAGGGCATAGTTCGCATACCAGGTTTCATCATTGTCTAAATCTTTGACTGTACGAGCATTAGATGTCAACAAGTTTGATTTTATTCTTGGAATTAGACTGTCACGTAAGAGGAAAGGTTTGGAAGTTCCTTATTGGTAGGCGTGAGTGGTATGTTGGGAGTCATAGGCTTCTTTGAATCAAGACTTGGAAAAACGTTTTAAGGGAAAAACCCACGGCTGTTGCTCTTACGAAATTCATTTGTTCCACCATGTTTTCTATAGGGCCAAAGGTTACAGTAGGCAGAATTTTGTGAATATTGGCAAGGAGTAGGTCCACCGTTTATTCAAGGAATTTTGTGTAATTTACAAACTCAGGGTCTAGAATTATAAGACTCCCAAAGTCAAGAGTGTTTCAAATCTATTCGCAAGGCAATAATACAAGTCAAGGAGGTACAAGACGAGGCTATAGGTTCATGGTAGTTGAACTCCACTATTTCTCATGCAAGGGAGCTCAGATTCAGTATTGAAGTTTGCTAAGTGACTAGGATGTGCGTCTTGGCCCATGGTTTTCTTATGACATTAAGTTTTGATTTCATTTGTTTTGAATTCATTTGACTCGATTTAAATGGGTCACAAACTGAGCACTAAAGAATTTATGTTTTTAGAA